AACGAGCACGAGGTACATCGACCGAGGAAGAGGATAACGAAGACGTGCTGAACGTGGACGATATCGTGGAAGACAATGGCACCGAAGAGGAAACGGTTGTCAAGGAAGATTGATGATATTGACCGCCGCTCGATAAAGACTGCTGTTGTATCGTGCCTGACGAGGTAGAGGGGATCGATGTTGTAGATGTTGCTGTCGTTAAAATCATCGTCGTTGCCGTAATAACACCGGATGCTGCTGCTGCTGCCGCCGCCGCCGCCGCCGCCGCCGCGGCTGCTGCTGCTGTTGCCGCTGCTGACAAGGAAATTGTAGACGCTGCTGATATCGCGGAGGATGACGAGGAGGATGATGACGTTAAACACGTTAAAGAAGAAGAAGAAGAAGAAGAAATGGTAGAGGAAGAGGAACAGGACGAGGATGATGTTGACGAAGATATCGCCACTGACGACGACGAATTATTCAAAACTGTATTACTACTAGAAAGTAATCCTCGATTCGTCGAGGCGCTGAGGCTGTGAATACTACATACACTACTATTACCACTAAGAAGGCTACTGGCCGACCCTAAACCGCTACTATTACCACTGCTTGCTGCCGTTCCGCTACTTGCAAGACCGATGGGCAAAGAAACCGGTGGTAATTCCGGACTGACGGTTTTGATCGACGTGCCCGGAGTGATCGGTGTCGCTGGGGTTGGGTGTACACAATTGTGCTGCATCGTCGAGCGTGGATCAGTCGTTTTTAATACCAACGGAACCATGCTCGTCGAGAGCATCGTGCTACTACCACCGATGTGACTGCTCACAGAGGAGGTACTAGTCAGTTGCACCGGCGGATGACTAGGAAATGGATACTGCAGGCAAACTTTGCTGGTGCAACCCCCGCTAGAAGTTAGCCCAGCCGTGCTACCGATCATCGAACTGACGCCTATAACGCCCGTAAATTCTTTCGGTTCGTATTTTTCACTGAAGTTCTCCAGTCGTTTCGAATCCTCGTCGAAAACACTTCTTTTCGCGAGAACGGATTTCACTATGTCCGACGGTTGCACTTCATGTAGATCCAAGTCAAGGAGTTTATGTCGGAATTTAAAACGTTCCGAAGCGCTGGCGTCGAGTTTTGCCAAAGCATCGCCACCGGCTGCACTCAGAGCTCTCGAGCCCGACCACTTTTCATATTTCTCGTCGAGGGAACGTATTCTCTCTTCGAGACTAGGAGACTGGGGCGCCGTCTCGCTGTCGGAACTCGTTGGACTGGGGCTCAAATGTCTAGGCGGTGGCGAGGCTGGTGGCTGTGGTGCCGTACAAGGGCTGGCCGCAACCGAGAGCCCGCTGGCACAAGGTGGACTAGTGACTTTCAGACTGCTGCTACTCGACCGAGCATTACTGCTGTTACCGTTATTGTTGTTGTTGTTGTTGTTGCTGTTGTTGTTGTTGTTATTGTTGTTGTTGTTATTGGTGTTGTTGTTGTTGCTATTACTAGTGTTGTTGTTGTTCAACATCTGAGTCGCAAACCTTGGTAAAGGTAACGACAGAGGACCCTCGTGACTCCTTTCGCGAAATCTTCTTGGCTCGCTCGGCACAAGGTTCTCAGGTCTTTCATCGACAAGAGGCGTTCCTGGTCGTGATCCATCGTGATGCTCATGATGTCTAGACGTCAGAACGAAGAAAAACAAAAAGTTAGAGATATCGCACATAAATCTAAGACGATACGAAAAACTCTTTCTCTCGTTCTCCCCATTCTTTCCTCTAACTTATTCAATCTCACCTGCTAGAAGTATCTCGGCGACGCTTACAAGGTCCAGGACCCCTGCCATCACAGCTACTTCTTCTCGTACTATGATGCACCACCACTTTGCTGTCACTTACGCGTCTAACGTCCATGCCTTTTCTACCGGAATGAGAAGTTACCAACAACGATGCGATTTCAGGTTCATCGTCCTCGCATAATATCGTCGTTGAACTTCCATCCAACTTAACTCGTTTCTTAGGTGCAAAACCAACTTCGTCGCCGCTACTGTGACACTCCTCGAGCTGTTCCAATAAATGAACTCGCTCCTTTTGAAGATGCCTGATGTCGGGCGGAGGTAAAATAGGTGGCGGTGGAACAGGTGGCTCCACGCTGGTAACGACACTCTGGACGGCATGTCGTCGAGACGATGGGGGTGGTGGACAATCATCATCGTTGAGTTTACCGTCGCTCAGAACGCTGCTCTGATAATCGTCGTGGCTCGCGCCGCTTCCCTGGCTGAATTCGTCGTAACTTCGAAATCTACGTGGCGTTGGGTCGTTGTAGTCGCCGTCGTAGTATGAATCTTGATAGGAACGCCTACTGCTACGCGACATCGCCGTTGGATGAGCAGGACTGGCCCCTGGAGTGCTACCACCACCGGAAGTACGAGAGTAACTACTAGTTGTCCTTGATCTTGGGGGTGTATCGTAACGCGTAAATCGACCGCTCGAATTTGACATTGTAACTGCTGATTCAAAGCTGCTACGCTCCCTCCTGTAATGAATCCTTTCAGTAACGCGTGAATTCTACTTTGTGCTCTTTATTTGGGGGTGACGATGATACTTAAAGCTAGATATGCATACATTAGTCATTATTAATTATACAATTTATACATTATAAAAAATATTTGTGAAAAAATCCACATTAGATATAGTTGCAAATATTTTTCTTTAAACGATTCAAGTCTTTTAACTTTTAATTGTATATACAATATTACATATATATATACATATATATATATATATATATATATATATATATACATATATATATATATATACATATATATATATATATATATATATATACATATATATATATACACACACACACACACACACAAATAAAATATATAATTATACATACGCAACATCGAAGGTTGTCGCCGGCGAAGGCCTGGTGTCCCAAGGTTTTTCACCAGCAACTCCTTGTCTTTCCAGATGTTCATAAAAAGTTTCCTGGCATTCTCTGGACGCGAAATCCACTTGAAGACGACGTCCACGAAGCGCGGCTCCTCTCATTTCCTTCACAGCAGCCTGAGCGCAGCTTATTTGTTCGAAGAAGACTAACGCATGGCCACGTTCACGATCCACCACGATTTGCGTTATAGAACCGAACTGATGGAACTGCATGTTCAAGTATTTTTCTGACATGCAATCTACAAAACGAACACCGTACACATAATTTACTTATTATTATATTACAAATGCATGTGCATCATCAGCATGACAGAATGATCACAGATTTAATATGCAAAATGTTGGGATTACCTCCTATACCATCTACCCAGACGCAAGAGGTGGGCATAGATTTTCCAAATCCAAGTTTGATACGATTCGCACCTAGATGTTCGCCATCCATAGATCTCATGGCCTTAACGACACTACCGATATCCGAATACTGACAAAATGCATAGCTCGAAACAGCGCCTTGCTTTTTGATGTCAATTTCCTGCGAAGGCAAACAAAAAAGGATACATTTATATAAGATAGAACTTGATGAATAATGAAAAGTGCGACGATGCAAACCGATCCTCCTGGACTTACTATAATTTCGCCAAAAGGCTCAAAGTGTTTCCTGAGTTCAGACGCAGTTACATCTTTTTCGAGATTCCCAATAAAGAGCGTCCTCGTTGCTTTGGGATGATACTCGTCTAGTTCGGCCTCGTACGGCCTAAACTCGTTGTCCTCGACGTCGTATCCTTGATAAGGCGCAACTTCGATCTTGCAACCGAAAAATAGTTTGTCATGAGAGACTTCCAGGGCTTTCTCAACGTCCTCGGGTTTCTTGAAGCAGACCAGAGCGTATCTGTCGCCCGCTGCACCGACAACCTTCACCCACGTGACCTTCCCATGCTTTTTATACTCATGGAAAAGGCCATCCTTGAGGGAAGTGTCGCTGCTACGAGCAGGAAGGTTCCGTACGCAGATTGCCAGTGGCCTGCGATCTTCGGTGACTGCAACAGCATTTCCAGCACGATGCGGTGAACTTCCTGGTGACGTGCTTGCGGCGGACGTGCTACCGGCGGAACTGCCGCTTCGACTACTACTGCTGCTACCGGAACGACTGCTACCGCTCGGTGAGCTACTACCGCTTCGAGATTTTCTACGTTGTTTCTTGTGTTGTCGGTGGACACTGCTGCTACTACCACCTCCGCCTCCGCCACCTGTTCGTATTATAATAAAAGAGATTAACACTCACAATAAATCAAAGAAATACATCGGTCTATAAAATAAACTCGAAGAACGTTTGATTTATAAATTTTACCTGGCTCATCCTGGTAGGAATCATTGGTAGCCGGCGAGGGTGGTGGTGGTGCATTACTATATCTCGATGAAGTCGTCGACTCGTAAGCAGAGGACCAGGAAGACGGTGCCCGATGACGATCTAAATGGGGCGGGGGTGGCGGCCCGGAGCCGTAAGGGCCTGTCCTCGGGTAAAGCCGATCCCTCGCCCTGCTCGACGTCACGTGGTAAGAGCTACCAGGTGGTGGACGTCCACGTGGTATATAGCCACCAGGTTCACCGCTGTTAGGATCCGATGGATGGCCTTGAACGACGACGACGCCGCCTCCGGTGCTGCCGACGCCGCCACCGCTCCCGGCATTGCTGCCACCGCCTCCACTGCCGGCACCCCCGCCGCCGCTGTAGAAACCCCCATGGGAACCTCCGTGCGAGCTACCGTGTGAACTTCTCGACTCGACGAAGCTACTCTCGCTGCCACCGCCACCGACAATGACGCTGCCGCTGACGCCGACGCCAACGCCGCCCCCGCTGCCACTGCCACCGCTGCCGCCGACGCCGCTGCTAACGCCAACTGCGTTACCACCACTGCCTCCGACGACTCCGCCGACTCCGCCGACGACGCCGCCACCAGATCCGACGATACCCCCGCTACTTCCTCCGACGACGCCAACACCACCCCCGACACCACCGACGCCTCCTCCACCTCCGCCTCCGGCACCACCGCCGCCACTCGAGCCATGATCCTCCGAACTTCTGAAACATACCAAGTCGAACTTAGTCTAGCCTGATGCTAGAGATTCCTCTTGTTTTGTTTCCTTGCTTGCACGAACGTGATCGTTATGCCTAAAGTGTTTGTGTGTTCACGTGATCACGATGCCAAGTGTTTCGTTAAACGAACCAAGTCTTTTATTCCCTACTCATAATGTTTATATCGCCTAAATGAATTTTCCCATATGCATTTTTAATCTTCATCTTTTATACGCATATTTCTGTATGCAAGAGCCAATGCTAGTACTAACGTAACCTCGTCAACTATAGAAAAAGAAAAAGGAAAAAAAGAAAAGAAGATGGTCGATGCGAGATGCGAGTCATGTTCGAAGGAAAGAAAAAAAGATCATCCGCCTGAGATTATCCATGGCGATGCATCAAGAGGATATCCGCGATGGGACAAGTTCTTCATTGTAAAATCCAACGCCGAAGGACAAAACTTTGCGCGTGTCACGTCGGTCACGCCAAAGAAGATTCCAAATCGTGACACGGATGTGGAAAGCCCCAAGAGAGAAGAGATTTCGAAACGTTCTCCTGCGGCTACTGATCTCTAACCAATCATCAGGGAGACACGTTATTCAAAGAAGGCTATCGATGTTGTGGTTTGTAAAAGAGAACCAGATAGGAGGTTAGGATTTGGTTAAGGAAAAACGAGTTCTATGATTACCCTTGGCTACTCCTAACCTCAAAGAATCTTTTAACAAATTCGTTATTCGTTCTTTCCCATTAAGGTTCTCTGAAAAAAGAAAAAAGAAAAAAGAAAGAAAGAAAGAAAAAAAATATCACATTAAAAAAAATGTTCAAAGAATACCGTCGAAAGGATAGAATTTCTCTTTTTCAATCTTAAGGGATATTCCCACTATCGAAATATTTCCCCGAAATATACATTCTATCGCATATAATGTAGACGCGCGTTCGTGTTTGCACTATGCATCTACGTTCAATATAGTATACAGAAGAGAAGGGGCGGGGAGCAAGGGTTAATCGTAGCTTCTTGCATGTGTCGTGACTTGTTTGGCATGCACGGTATGGGCACAATAATATACTCGATAAGATATTTCTAGAGTCGTATCGGCATACCTCTTAGCGCATGCGCATTGACGAAAGAAAGGCAGGGTCACGACAAATTAGTCTAACGCCTTATTTATCTATAGCCAAGTTCTCTCTTTTAACCTATACTATGATTCTCTTTCTCCACCTTTCACGAGCGTGTGTCGCCGCCACCACCGTCTCCTCTTCCTCCTCTTCCTCCTCCTTATAATACGTTTCACTCGATCGTATCAGAAAAATTTCGTCGAACTATCGATTCTTATAGAGAAATGATAAGCCTTATATTTATAAACGTCTGATTCATAAGTGGATTGTAAACCTTGAATGCGGTGATAAATATTAAACAATGACGTCATCCTCTTAGCGAAGTTTGCACGAATCACCAATGATTACGTTACGATCAAAGTTCGAATGTCTCTTGAAAGAATAAACAGACCTACACGTATTCCGTAAATAAAAAGAGAGAGAAAGAGAGAGAAGGGGGAGGGGGAAGGGATCGTACATTCCTAACTACGGCACTGACGGTTCTCCCCTCCACCTCCACCTCAATCTACTGCTCCTTCTCTGTCTTTCTCTCCTCCCTCCCACTCTTCCCACCAGGCCCCGAGCATCCACCATAACGTCGTACGCCCTCTCCCTTGTCGTCACGCTTCGACGTACCGTCACTCGACAACGAAACGCGTGGCAACGTCGCCTTCTTCGTCGTCATTTTCTTCGACAATACTCCGTCCGTCTATTCGTCTGTCCGTCTGTCCGTTCGTCGGTCGTCGTCGTGTCTTCGAAATCGTCACGGTCGTCTAACTTTTCATGGAAATGCAACCACCATTACTACACTTCGGCGAGACATTCCTCTAAGTACGTGCAATAACCCAACTATGTTTCTTTCCCCCAGCCCTTTCCTTCCTTCCTTCTTTCCTTTCAGTTAAAAGATATTATTATAAGATCTCTAACTAATCTCTATGTGAGACTCTTCTCTTCTTCCTAATAGTTCTCAATTTACGAATTAATCATTCCACATGCAAAAAGAAAAAAAGAAAAAAGGAAAACTTTAAAAAAAATTTGAGTCCATCAAAAATATACTACGCAAGTCAATATGACAGTGAAAAATTGGAGTAACTACCATAGGTATCTAAAAAATTATTCATTTATAGTGAGGAAAGTAATTAATAAAAGCTCTTATTATTACGTATCACAATGTGTGGTATAACACCCACTAGGAAAAAATATCGCAGTATATACACAAAGCAGTATATATACATATATATATATATATATAACGAAATGGTAGGTAAGACAAACAAATGATGAAATTTCTTTTATAGAACGAGATATATCTCGGGGTCGATGTTAAAAACGATAATAAAATTCATTACTTGTAGGGTACCGACGGTCACGATAAAGTCGAAAGCTACAATTTTTTCCAGGAAATACTTTCACGAGAAATCGATTAGTCCGGTGTTGTCCGTGACGCAGTCCAAAAGAGAAAAACATATTTTTATCGAATTCGATACAACTCGATCGATATGTCTTTCCCCAGTTTGATAAGGATTATAATTATCATCATAATCATAAAAATGATTTGAACATTATTATCTCTATCTACTTAAAGATGTCTCAACGTTTCCATGAATTACATATACATATTATGAGCTGTCCGTATGGTCCTATGATAGGAAAAGGATAAATGTTGATAAGGTCATACAATTTTTCACAATTTATCTTTTCAATAACAACAATTCGTACTTGCTTTTTAATATACACGATGCACCGTCTTGCGAACGACGACGACGACGACGACGACGACGACGACGACGACGACGACACTTAGCACTTATATTTAATCCAAATTCACTGTAATCCAGCACTGCATCCATTGGGTAAGTCGCCGACATGTCGAATAAATGAGTTTCACTACATTTCCTTTTTATCGCACTGGCATTGTTTTTACACATCGTATTGCGATATTTTTAGTCTCGTATTGAATATTATGAATATCCAAAGTTAAGGTATATCAATATAATTAAATAGAGGGGATTAAGAATATAAGGAATTATACATAAGGATGGGCAAAGACCATATGACAAAAACAAAAAAAAAAAAAAACGAAGAGACACCTAATACGTGTAATGACGTTTCAATGTCGTTTTACCTGCTTCCGGTATAACATGCGATTTAATCGATTCCCTGCGACGTGACTCATCATAAAGTGGTTTTTGCACATACATACCGAGAGAGGGGACCGTACACATATAAAAGCCATTCGAAATGTACAAAAATATCGTTATCGGGTTCTCTTGTCACAAGAACAACACGTACAGCGATAGGAGACATTGCTTTTAAGATTTTACGTTCACGATCCATGATTCTTATCTATATTTGGTTATAATGATACGTTGATCATTATGAATCATCCATCATGGATCATTATGGAGGATTAAAAATTCTGATCCCGCATTCATGTTTATTTCAAATTGTCTGCTGAATTAACTAAACTGAGAGAACTTAGGTATGCCTATATTAAACATACCCATAATAGGTATAAGCATAAAACGGATCCATATATATTATCCTAGGGCATTGCATAGTTTAGCAAAAGAAAAAAATAAATGAACAAGATCCCGCCGTATCTCACCCGTGCGAGGGAAATCTATGTTGAAGATGCTGGGGCTCGTAGTACTGTGTCGTAAGGGCTCGTTCGTCCAAAGTGTGCTCAGTCGCGTGAGCCTTCGCTGCGGACTTGATATCCATGAACGCCACCGTCGCGGAGGCGCCCCCGGTGTTAATCGAGGAACCGCCGCCCCCGCTGCCACCGCCGCTGCCGGAACTGGAACCGGAACCACCCTCGTTGCCCTCCCCGAGGGAACCACCGGAACCTCCGTCCACAGGGCACACCTCGCCCCGCGGCAGCAGCTTGACGCTCTGCACGCGTCCATACCTATAATCGGAGAAACATAATCCATTTATTTACAATCATTTTGAACAAATAAATATTATTTCATGTTTTTTTTTCTTTTCCAAGACAAAACTTGTTGGTTTGTCTGATCAATGGACAATAAGTCGAAATCTTTCTCACCGTTATTCGTTAATTTTTCATTCGTTACAACAAAAGCAAATGTGGATCTACAGTATATTTATCCTAAACCTTCCCTCCCCCTCCCGTACCAAAGTCATCCCAACAATTGTTCATCGTTAAATAATCTTTAGAAGAAGGAATCAGTGATTTGCATATTTATCAAAAGAAATCTCATTATGTCGTAGTTAAATGATAGCGATTAGCAGAGCGAGAGGTTAGTAGATGGGAGGAGGGTAGGTGGATTGGGTTGGGTGGAGCAATGAACATGAAAGCAAACGTTCTTCCAACGATATATACGATCGGTTGAGTCATCGTACGAGTTGAAGTGGCATATTCCAACGTAAAAGTTCAAAGGAACTCGAGAATAAACGAGGATGTAGGAGGAGGGGGAGGAGAGATGGGGAATAGGAACGGCGGAGAATGTTTTTCTACAAATATGTCGCATCAATATTTCAGCATCGAACAAAATAGAGTAGGCAACGAAATAAAAGAAAAGAAAAGAGGAAGAAGACAGGTACAAGCAGCAGGCAGGCAAGCAAGCAAGCAAGGAAGGTAAGGCAGGCAAAGTCCGTGGAGCGTTTCCATAGGAGTAGAGGATGCGGAGAAGACGACAGTGCACGACGAGATCTGGCAACGTTGGACGGGGTATAATACTCTGGTCGGCGAACGGCAACAGCGCAAAAGGGATCCTCGTTGAGAGAGATCGTTTGGGATTTCGAAGAAGGGAGGAGACCCTGTAATCCTCTGCCCGTAGAAACCTCTCGCGATACCCGACACGAGAGCGGAGGAAATTAAGTCGAAGGAAGAGAAAGACGGATAGAGGTTAGAGGAGGTAGAGATGGCAAAGAACGAGGAGAGAGGAGGAGGTAGTGGTAGAGGTGGAGATATAGATGGGAGAGGCGAGGCGGGCAAGGTAAGGGGGGAAGAGGAAGAGAGGAGGAGAGGAGAGAGCGCACGCGCGCAAAAGCATTTGCGCGCGGGTTGAAAGAAGCCATGGAGAAGGGCAAGGAGGGGTAAGAGGAGAAAGGAGACACCGAGACGAGACCTCGATCGAAGTCTTCCTCCGGCGGCGCATTCAGATCCGTACGGATAAAAGCCCTTGCGGATGTTTTTGCAGAGCGGCCATGACGGCACCAGCCTTTCCCTCGCTTCGTAGAAAGAAGATAAACTTATATGTATATATTTCATGTATTTTACCGAGTTGAAACGTGCGTACAGAAGAAGGAAGTATATCGAAATGCTCGAGGGGATATATATATATATATATATTTTTGAGAAAAGGAAGAGACTACTTCAAAAAGAAGGTGCATGTACGTAAGAGACTAAAGTATAGAGAGAGAGAGAAGCAGAAAATGGCGTCGGTAAAGGTTACCCACCATTAACGTTTAGTCACCGTCGACGTGTACCTTCCAGACAGTTCTTTTTATTTTCTTTCTTTCTTTCTTTTCCTTTTTCTTTTTTATTTTATTCCTCCAAAGAGAGCTCGCGGAATATTGTATCTTGTATAAAAATGAGAGAAAAAAAAAGAGAATTTGTAGAAAGAGGTTGGTTGCTCTCGGTGAGAATAATACACGAGTATGGGTATAACGTCCATCGATGATGACGAGGTGGTGGAGAAAGAGAATGGAGAAGAAGGGGAAAAGGACGAGGAGGTGGGAGGAGGAGGAGGAGGAGGAGGAAGAAGAAGACGAACGAGAGAATGACGGCGTAGTTCCCTCGACGCAGAAATAAGGGGAGATTCGGGTGCGGTGGTGTGGGGTGGGCTGGGGAAGAAGCAGGTTCTCTCATTCTTTCTCTCTTTCTTTCTCGAGAAAGAAAGAGAGGGAGAGGGAGTGCGCAAGGAGTGGGGATAATCGTCGATAAGAGGATGAAAGGGCCACGGTGATTGGTCGAACGGTAAGAGAAGAGCGATGCGCAGACGCAGCATCGAAGGCTCGACTTTTCTCAGCGAGTCGATCGGCCGATCTCGCGCGAGTTGCACGTACTACTCTGTTCGCTCTCTTTAAAAAAAAGAAAGAAAAAAAAAGGAAAGAAACCGATTATTTGATCGAGTAAACTTCCGATATATTCTTTTCCCTTTAACAACAACAACAACATCTACGACGACGACGACGACGCACGAAGATATTTTATCCATACTTTTTTTTTTTTCGAAGTATCGATAATATTAGCGCAGTCGTATCATAATTAAAAAAAGTCCGTCGAAATTGTCGTTTTCATTGCATCTTACGGTATTTTCTTTTGTTTTGCATTTTGTTCTTCTTGATAAGGAAGAAAACAAAAGATTTAAAGAAAGAAAGAAAAAAAAAATGGGATTAATGAGGGACACGGATAGAGAAGGAGAGAACATATGCCTTGTTGGAAAAGGGTCGAGAAGAGGGGGAAGAGAAGATTTGCGAGATAAAACGCAACATATTCGGATTATTTCAACGTCCGTAAAGAACGAGAAAAAGAGAGAGAGAGATCATTTTCTCTAAGGTTCTTAGAAAAAACCGGAACCGAAAGAGCATGGTGGATTTTTTTTTTTGTTTTTTTATTATTTTTTTTTTTATTTTTTTCGTTACACATTTCTTCTATACACATCCCTGTGCTATTTCGTAATAACATTTTTTAAAAGGGGACATTGCTACGGGTTCTCTCTGACACCTTCGAAACGAGACATCGCGAAAAACAGCGCCGGGTTCATAATCTTTTTCCCCATTTCTTTTCTTTTTTTTTTTTTTTTTTTTTTTTTTTTTTTTTCATATTTTCTTTTTTATTTCTCCCTCTCTCTCTCTCTCTCTCTTTCTCTCTCGTTCGTACATCTCGGAAGTCCGTTGTTAATGATCGAACATCGTGGGCGTGGTTCCTCGCTAAAGCGTGTGATCCGATTCGCAGATGGGCCGATGCGCAATTACGTCGTTGCGTCGCAAGTTTCTCTCTACGGTTCGGCTTGACGACCGACGACGACGACGACGATGGTTAAAGAGGAAAAGAAACGATTCTCTAAAAAAAAAAGGGGCGAGAAAGAGAGAGAATTTAATTAAAAAAAATCATAGAAAGATCTTTTTTGAAGGTCTCGATGATAGTCTCATATCTCTCTCTATCTTTCTCTCTCATAATATATCCTCTTTTTTTTTCGAAAAACAAGAAGAGAGAACATAGAAAAACTGTGTGTTCTATTCCCTTTGCTCCTCTCTAATATAAGCTAAAAAGCTGGTAATAATAATATAAAACGTCCTCAGGAAGATCTTTCTATATCGATTGAAGAACGAACTTATCATAAAAATACGTGCCCTTAACTAATTAAAGAAACAAAATAAACTAACAACAACGTACTTCAGAAATGTATACATATATATATATAGTTCTCGTTTATGAGTTTAATACCCACAAACTGAGAGACCTCGAATCGATAGTTCAAAATCGTGCGGTGTATGCAATAAGAGTGTTGATTAAGATCAAAACGAAATAGAAAAAACGAGCCCTCACCAACCCTACCCTTCCCTTTTCCACCGAACAGCCCAACTCCTTCCAGATAAAAAAAAATTTAAGCTTCTTTCAATCGTATTTTCGAAAAAAGGGGATGATTATTAACGTGGGGGCGGGGAAAAAAGGGAGGACTAAAGTCTGGAATTTTTTTCGGTTTCATTGCTACGACAACAATTGAACAATGTGAAAACTCTCCAGTGTGCTGCTGGGCGCTGTTGTTGCTACTGCTACTGCTGTTTCTCTCTCTCTCTCTCTCTTTCGTCGGGAAAAATTTCACGCGAAATTCTTCAAAAAAAGAAAAGGAAAAAAAAAGAAAAAGAGAAGCCGTTCGATTCGTCGCAGCTGCAGGGTTCTCGAACCGCACCAAACGAACGAACGAACGAACGAACGAACGAGAACGAACGGTTAGAAGGAGCGATAGCGTTCTGCGTCGCGGTCGCGTACCTTCTTTCACTCTACTCTTCTCTCTTCTTTACCCCTCTACTCTCCCCATCACACAATCCCAATCCCTAATCCCCTCTGAACCTCTCACGTTCCGTCAGCAAAATAAGAAGGCATACAAGGGAGCGGCGGTACATACGATCGAAGGCACTCGAGGAGAAGTTTCTCTCTCTCTCTCTCTCTCTCTCTCTCTCTCTCTCTCTCTCTCTCTCTCTCTCACACAACGAACGAAGGAGAGCATTTACGAACACGCACGAACAACACACATCGGGCGACGTCGTCTTTTTCCGTGGTGCGTCGTGCGAATACGTAGAAGAGAAGGAAAATGGAGGAAGGTTGCTTTGCTGCTGCTGATGATGAGGCGGCTGCTGCTGCTGCTGCTGCTGCTGCTGTTGGGGTAAAGAGGGGAAATCGAGTGCCACGGTGGCTGGCCGACTGGCTGGCGAAGCGAACCGTGAACCATGTCCCCCCCCTCTGCCTCTTCATCCACCCCCACCTATCTCCCATCAAACAAAACCTTCTCTCTCTTTCTCTCACACCATCCTACTCTCTATCTATCCATCTATCTATCTATCTCTCTTTCTCATTCTTCTTTGCTCACTGCTCGCGCGTCAAGGAATTTTACTCGCACGGCGGACTTGCTCTTCCATAGCAGGGCTTCTTTTCTCTTTTTCTTTTTTCTTTTTTCTTTTTTCTTTCTCTCTCTCTCTCTCTGTTCGACGAATGCAAGACGAACTCTTGTCCTCGGTTTAACAAGACAAGAATATATATAAATATATATATATATGTATGTATATATACGTATATATATATCCTGATCTTTGTATAGTACCATGTTCAGATATATTCTCTGTAGGTCAGAACGGGTATGCTGAATTGAGGATTCAAACGGATTATTCTTTCAACCATTTCTCTTCTTTTCTTAGATGATACATGATAATATTACGATGTAACGAGGTCTCTTTCAAATAGGAAAAAGAAGAAGAAAAAGAAAAGGATGGATTTGGATATAAGAATTCGTAAGTTTAATGTGCAAGAGTTGTCTTGTATTTGTGTATGAATTTTCTTATATAGTTCAATCTTGTTTGCAATTTAATTATTTTACACGCGACATAATCTCCCGCCGGGCCGCCATTTTGTGTTGTGTTCCGTCTAGAACGTTGGAGACGCGGCTTGAAACGAGTTGAAAAAAGAAAAGAAAAAGCACGCGCTTCAAACGAACACACAGTGCGAATAATTTTATTTGAAAAAGATGAATGTCTCTGTTTTTTTTCTTTTTTTTTTTTTTTTTTTAGATATATACATATGTTTCATAAAACTACATAAAAAAAATGGGGAAACGACGAACGAGCGTTCGTTAACTTTTAAGAGCGTTGCTCTCGTCTTTCACGAGCAAGCATAAATCATAAATCTCTTCACATCGAATATGTATGTATATATGTCTGTACACACACACACACACATATATGTATGTATGCGTGTATACACATACACATACACCTAGAAAATAAATTTCCTAGGAGAATCACAAAACGTGCTATGATCGAAAACGTTGAGAGTGCTTGGACCAATCGTTCGTCTTTCTACGTTTGAAACAGGAGACGAACAGGAAATCAATACATCGGCCCACGGTTAAGAGTTGAGGGTGAGGGGGGGTGAGAGAGGGGAGGAAAAGAGGCGCAGGGGATGAAGAGAAAGAGAGAGAGAGAAAGAGAGAGAGAAGCGTATACGACAAAGCATACAAGAAAAAAAAAGGGAAAGAAAAATCTCCTTCCGTAAATTTATCAATGTTAGGCAGCACACAATTGTAAAAGTATTATATTATCAGTAGTACGTTCTCATCCTCTGGTTAATTTCAAATACATATCGTACTTTAATCATCGCACGTGTGCGCTTTCATATCTCATATAAACGATGATAAAATATATTCCGATGACGCGTCAATAAACTTTCCTATACGCGGCATAACCTCAACAAATATCATTTTCTTCCTCCTTCTATATATATATATATATACTACTCGACCCAAAAATCTAATACCTTTATCGATTGAATTCATTCGATCCCGTTA